ATATATAAACATATAAATACATATATGGACTTAATCATCTAAGAAGTATAAAATTTGTGAGATCCATGATAATTTTTATTTTAAGACTTTGTTTAACATGATTTTTTCATTTAAGTATAATATTTAACATATAGATTTAACATATATTTGTTTCATGTATTCGATTCACAATGTGCATCTTTTTACGTATATTTTTTGTTTCAAAAACACGCAAAAAAGGTTTACATTTGTGAACCGCCAACATGTGAAACAAACACATCCTGAAACAAATACATGCTAATCGATATTCCAAAATCCTAATGTTACATAAAAAAAAAAACATAATACATGATACATTAATTCTCAAGATTATCATAATTTAATGAGTTTTCAAAAAATACCTACATACACGTATTTATATCTATTCGATTTTGTCAATTTCTGTCAAATTATTATTATTATTAATTAAAAGATAATTATTGTACTATTTGTTCATAAAAGATAGTATATTTTAGTTGACATGTTAAATTATCATAAAAACCATGGATCACAAATCTAAGGGTATATACCCTACATCATGTACGCAATAAAGGTAGGTGCCAAACCATCAAACCCTAATCTTCAAACAAAACCATCAAACCTTTAATATATTAAATCTTGGTACCTGCAACATGATCACCACCTGCGTTTGTCTCACCAACCCCAACCATTTCAAAATGCCTATAAATACTCCACTTTCTTCAACCACAACTTCAATCCCACTTCATTTTCTGCATATTTATATCTAATGGCTTCGTTTGAACAAAAGCTAGCCATGGCCAAGCACTGCTCTCATGGTATATATTCTTAATAATCTGTATATTCATATGATTTTGGTCCCATGCATTCGGCTAAAGTTTGTAGCTTCTTTTTGTGGGTTGTACAGAAGGAGCTGTTGCAGGAGCTAAAGCTGCTGTGGTAGCCACCATTGCCACTGCTATTCCAACTGTTAGTATATATATCCTTATCACTTGTTTTTTTTTTCAGTATTAATTGCATCTATTTCTTTTCACTCTTCTCGTCCCAACTGAAAGCAAGATTTAAGATCAAGACTTCTTAATCCTAATAACCATGTTTCACACAAGATCACATCTAGTTTTCTTGCAAAATACAAAGTCTTGATGCATGATCAAGAACGTGGTTAACTAGTGCATCAAGTTTCACACAAGATCACTCAATAGACTGAATGCATGCAATTATATGTAATGTGTTGCAGGTGGCAAGTGCAAGAATGGTGCCATGGGCAAGAGCCCATCTTAACCACACAGCCCAAGCTCTCATCATCTCCACAGGTTCACGACCATATTGCAATCTTACTTTTTCTTAATTAGACCTTTCTTTTGTGGGTATCAAATGTCTAACCAAGAATCTGCATATACGTTATGAAATTTCAGCGGCTGGAGCTGCATATTTTATAGTTGCAGACAAGACTGTCCTCAAAACTGCCAGAAGAAACTCCTTCAACAATACCAATGGACCATGAACCTTTGGCATCTTATTGATTGGTTATCTAAGATCACTCCTTGTTAGGGCATCGATCTCTTTTGGCATTTTTAGAACCTTGTTTGCCAAAAGAAACAACAGTAGTGGGTTTTCTTCAGTTTCCAAGAATACTTGTTATATGTAGTAGAATTATTCCACTTTTACATAATGTAATATATTAAATAAATGAGGGGGAAATATTTCTATATCTGAAAATGAAGCCTTTTTTAATTTTCTAACATTCATTAATCATATAATTAAGCTCTGATTGATGTGTATATATGTGATGGAATAAGCTCCTTTTGCAAGCAGTTATGCATATTTCTTGCATTTTGGTTTTTGTGTTCTCTTAACCCAAAAATTCTACATGTGTTAGGAAGATTTTAAAATAAAAAACTTAAATTACTTTTATCATTCATAAATCCTATATGTAATATTCAAACCCTTGCAACCCACGCTCCACATTGCCATCTTTCGTTGCCCCAGTGTCGTTCGTTCTTCATATCCTATAAATCCTATGTTCCCTTTGGTTGTATTCCTTCGATATAATATATATTGGTACAAGGTAACCTAACACCCGATTACGTGACTTCTAACAAGGATTACGCGACTTCATAAACTAGGGAATATATACACACCATAATTATCGCAAACCTATTTAGGAAGTTATTCTATTACTCTCCGTAATTTAAGCGAGAGGATCACAAAAGACCCTTGGTGAAGATGTCTGAATATTGGTAATATGACGACGCGTGCAAAACTCGTACTTGGCCACGAGTTACCTTATCTTGAAATTATGGTTCATAATAATTATTTTATATGCATGAAATTTCATTATCATAATAAGATTGGATTTTTGCATGTTTGCAGATTGTTATCGATAGTATTTCATCAGTATTACAATTTTCGAAAATAAATCATTCAATTTATTGGATTTTCAGGTAGTAAGGAAATCATATGGGTATTTAAGTTCCTACAGACCTTAAGGTTATTTATACTAAATAAAGAATCTGTATTTTTCATTAATCATTAGTCCTTTTAAGTTGAGATGAGTTTTAAATGAAATTGGAACATTTACCATCGTAAATTCTAATTCTTGTAAACTATTCTTTGAATCATTTTCTCTTTGATGAAGTCACGTAATCCTTCAACACAAACTTATTTTTTTGATCCTTGTGTTTTTTCTACTTTTTTGATTTTGGTCCTCTGTTAATTTTTGTATAGTTAAATTAGCATAAGACGTTCAATGAACTTGTTTCTAATCAGCTAACCGAGTTTAGTTACGAACGTATACTCAACTGCCAATTACATTAAGCTTAAACAAACGTCATTCCTAGCCAATGATTGGACGCCAACCATTTTAGACTAGATTAAGCAAACTTACAACACTAAAATTGACCAGACGCCCAATAATTGAAGTATTGTTTGCTACTAAGATAGAAATGAAACAATTACGGGTTCACAATTCCATCTAGCAATTAAAAATTAGGCTAAATGATTCAAGGGTGTGGACTTATATAAATAATCCAACAATGATAAACGATTCACATGAAATTTGCTTAAACAAAAATCGGATATATTACAAGAATAGCAAGTCTCAACACAATCTCGATTTGAATGATTACATGCTCATTGCTTGATGGAGAAAGAAAATATTAACTAGGAATGCAAATATTAAACCTAAGATCTAAGTTACCTAATTAACGAAAAGAAAACGTATTTGAGTTCTTAAAATCGTCTCATTTTCTCCTATTCTTGTTTTTTGAATAATTATGAGCGATATCCCTTGAAAATGGTGGTTTCCAACCCTAAGGCTACGTTTGGTACATGGGACGGGACATGACAGGACGGGACAAAACTCATTGTCTCATGTTTGGCGCAGCATAGGACAGAACAAGAACTCACTGTCCCACGTTTGGTGCGACATTGGACAGGGACAAGAACTGGGATAAAAGAGGTTTTTTTTTTGTTCCACCAAAAAAGGTGGAACAAGTTGGGACAAGAATGTCACAGAAACTAAAATATTACTAATCTACCATAGTTTGATATATAACCTTAATATGATATTTGTTTTAATGGTCATCACCGCTAGATCTGGCCGTCGCCACCACTACCGGCGGTCACCGGCGGCCACCTCCACCTCCTCTTCCACTACAACAACATTCTCCACCGCCTCCACAACCACCGTCCACCAAGTCCATTGCCATCTCTACCATAGTCGACCACCGACCACCACAGTCCATTGCCACCACCACTACCGCCGTTCGCCACCTTCAACTCATCCTCTACTGCAACAATCTCCTCCACGACCACCATCGGCCACCACCATTCATTGCCAGTTTGCCACCTCACCTCCACCATAACAACCACCACCACCACTATCTTCACTACATCAACCACAACTATCTCCTCCACTGTTGTCAACCGCCACCACCACCACCACCATCTACCATCTTCATGTCCTTTATAACCACCGTCGTCCACCAAGCACCACTGCCTCTACCTCCATAACCACCACTGTTGGCCACCGACCACTACAGCCCGTTGCCACTGCTACCGTCAACCACCACCACCTCCACCTCCACCATTACCAAAAACATCTCCACCAACACCACTACTGCCATCAATTATATCAAATATTTCATTCAAATTTGGTACAAATATGAAAATTATGTACAAATATTTATAAATTTATTTATTTAATTATTTATTTTATATGTGTTAATTATAACTATTATATAATATTTAAAATCATCAAATAACTTTTGGGGGTAACTTGTCTATTTCTGTCCCGTCCAGTCCTAGTCGTACCAAACACCAGACATACTCTTGTTATGTCCAGTCATGTCTCGTCCAGTCCAGTCCTATCCTCTTGTCCTGTCATGTCCTATCATGTTCAGTTCTGTTATGTTCAGTCCTATCCAATTATGTATGTGTACCAAACGTTACTTATCCCCAAACCCGACTCTCCTTGTTATTTGAAGCGTATGCCTAAGCCAACAATCATTTGAGAAATATGCCCTTTTGAGTGATTATTTGGAAAAATAGGCACCACCTTCTGATCATTTGAAAACATATGCTCCATAGTGGGCTAGGCGACTTATGACGTGACTAAAGCCAACTAAAAGGTCTTCTGAATTACTTTCTCACCATTTTCACCTCTTTTCGATTCTATTCAACAATAGACATAATATGGGACTTAGTTAGCTCATCAAAAACATAAAATAAACATAAAAGAGGGTATTCTGACTATAAATATGAGTTCTTATATATGTGTTTATTAAGTTTTAGTCTTTCTTAAGTGGTCAAATTGAGCAGTGTTGGATATAATATATGGGGTTCTTTCTAATAAACCCTCAAGTTCATTTATATTACATGTTGGGTTTAAAGTTGAGGGACCCGAAAACTCGAGAGGCATATTTTTATAATATTATATATATATTTTTTTTAACATAAAATTTGCTATTGATGACCAGAAATCTTTGTATTAATATTGTTTTAATTTTTTAGTCATACAAATAGTTGGGGTAAAAACAATAGGGGTTGACCATTTTTCGGGTTTTGACCGAGCCTTTTCGAGCATTGATCGAACAGGTTTTCGGTTAACCAAGGACCAAATTTTGGGCTTTATCTGAGCTTCTTTTTACCCAATTCTCAGGTTCAAAATTTAGGACCAAAATGGTCTCTTATAACTAGTTCTTGGGTCGAACTTTTTTCTGTTTCATCCTCTATTTTTCAAATGCAACAAATTTTATTAAAACAAGTCAACAAGGCTACACGACAAAAACAAGCAAACACTTTCCGGGAGAAGCAGAAAGAAACACGAAAACAAGGATCATCCCATCAAAAAGAGACCAAACTGACGAAAGACTGAGACAACTAACCAAGAACACTCAACAAAACGAGGATCATGTGTCAACACTAATTAAGAGTTATCTTCTAGACTGGATCTCGGGTTGCAGCATCAATCTGCCCACAAAGAAATATAACCTTTTGAATGATGAGATAACCAACAAAACAATAAGAGTTGAATGTCGAAAAACAAATCCGATTGAGGAGGAACCAAATTCGAGAATACCACTTTATTACGGAAAGACCAGATCGTGTGCATAGAAGTCCAAAGTACTGCATTCCACACCCTTTTTGCAAAAGAAGAGAGGGAAGGATGATATGTGAGAAGAAAAAAAACTTTATCGTTAGAAAATATGTTGGGGGAGCCCAAACCCCACCAAGTGAAGACCTTAAACCACACATTCAAGACTTCCTTGCAACAAATTATACAATGATCTACCGATTCAGTTTCGTCCCCACGTCGAGGACATAAGGAAGAGTAAATGTTTAAACCATGATTTGCAAGCACTGAATGCACCGGTATTCCTACCTTTTCTTAGCCTCTAAACAAAAATGCATACTTTCCTTGAAACCAACTTGTTCCATTTTGTTTCAGCTGCATGATCGGGTGATCAAAGGTCCTTCTTGTCAATCAACTCCATGAGCGCTTCTCATGCAACAAAATGAAAATCCGTCATCGTTGGGGAAGAGCATTGCATCTATATCTATCTTGATGGTGTGATGACGGGGTTTTCACCACTTCTCTTGACCGTTGATATAATTCTTCAATAAATGATGATCTATCATAACATGTTTGTTTCATTTATATCTAAATTTTCTCTATATTTTAAATCTCAACAACCAACGGTCATATTGTTATTTTTTTATATACCCTTAAAATAAATAATACCATTAATATCTTTTAAAACCATAGAGCATCTAGTTCTTATCCATATGACTTAATTGACATAATAATTTAGATGCTTGCAACATGATGTTTATTGCATACATAATGGATAGTTTTCGTTTTCAACGTACAAATATTCTTAAAATATATATTATTTATAACATGATTTAATTGTCAACCGTTAACTCTTGGACCAAAAATGCTCGAATGCTACTTGGTACATGCATTCTTGGTTCCATATTTAGTTCTATCACTACAAAAATGCTGGGTATCAGCGAGGGAAATTTCCCTCGCTGATCCGTCGCTGAAAGGGTTGTCCGTCGTTGATCCGTGACGGATCAGCGACGGATTTGCGATGGAAACTTTCAGCGACGGATCAGCGAAGGATGTACTTAGCGACGGATCTGCGACGGATTTGCGAGGGAAATATCAGCGACGGATTTGCGAGGGAACTATCAGCGACGGGTT